AATAATAATAATAATAAATAAGGAAATGGCGCACATTATTCAACCTTGTTGCTCTGGAAGGTTTGTTGCAATGATTGTGAAATGAAATGAAATTTTGCCCATAGGCCTCCATGTATAAGAAGCAAAGGCAAGAAGAGGGATTCTCTTTCTGTACTTGACATCTTTCTTTAATAATAATAATAATAATAATAATAATAATAATAATAATAATATTTTATTTATACCTCGCTACCATCTCCCCAAGGGACTCAGTGCGGCTTACATGAGGCCGAGCCCACAATACATCAATACAAGCAATAACAGTGCAGCTATACTGTAGAATGATTGCAGTTTGACACCACTTTGACTGCCATGGCTCAGTGCTATAGAATTATGGAGGTCTTGGTCTGGGAAAGCTAAAGACCTTTGATAAAGCCCTGCTGAGCTCCAGCACTGAGTTGTGAAAGTTAAAGTCATGCCAAACTGCATTAATTCTGCGGTATAGATGCACCCTCCCAATTAGTTAGTTCTAATTCAGAGTCTGTGCAGCATTTGCTCATTCATTCAGTTTCTTTTCTAAGAGACTGGGCTTAGATTATAAACACTACTAATAAATTTACTCTTATACCCTGCCTCCATCTCCTGAAGGGACTCGGGGCAGCTTACATGGGGACCAAGCCCAATATAAACAAGGTTACAAAGTACATGGTTAAAAACATAGAACAAACAACTAAATAAAACAATAAAAGCAATAAATAAAGAACATCAAAAAACATAAACCACGTAACAATTAACCAATAGTCAGGAAAAGTGGGCATGTGCAGATTTGGGGTTAGCAGGGCAAGACATGGGCTAGTGCCAGGCCCGTAGCCAGGATTTCGTTTTGGGGGGGGGGGCTGAATTTTTTTCAGGGGGGGTTCGGGGGGGCTGAGTTTCGGGGGGGGCTGAGTCTGAGTGAAAGAGGGTCTACCCTAGCAAACCTTTTGTATCATTACCCCAATACCCCCATGCATATGGGATATATTGAGTATGGTGATCAGATCATGATATGAATAAACATAACAGTTTAAATAATGCACCAGTAAGGCCTTTTCGCGACCACCATGAGAATTGGGGGGGGGGGCTGAAGCCCCTCAAGCCCCCCCCCCTTCCCCGGCTACATGCCTGGCTAGTGCAATGCAGGCTGTTGGGCCAGGGGCTGGGAATAAAGTGCTAGAGATCCCACTAAAAGAAGAGGGCTAGGCAAAACTTGATCAGTACTGAACTATCCTTTGAAGGCACATTGGAACATCCAAGTCTTCAGGTCTTTCTGGAAGGTCGACAGGGTGGGGGTTAATCTAATCTCCCTGGGGAGAGAGTTCCAGAGCTGGGGGGGCACCACTGAGAAGGCCCTCTCTCTCATCCCCACCAACCGTGCTTGCAACAAAGGTGGGAGCAAAAGAATAGCCTCCCTGGCAGATCTTAGCGCTTACACCAGTTTATAGACAGAAATACGGTCACAAAAGTAAGCAGAACCCATTTAGTGCTTTATGTGTAATAACTTGGACTTTGAATTGGTCCCAGAAACGTATTGGCAGTCAGAGGAGCTGCTTCCGTAGAGGCATCGTCCACTCCCTGTAACCAGCTCCAGTTAGAAACTTCCAGTTTCAGTTGAGCATATCCCAGAGTATCAGACAGATGATGAGAAAATGAATATCTTTTCACATTGTAAAGAAAGTAATATATGATCCCTCCATATTGGTAGGAATACATTCCCAAACATTGTGTGGATATGAGAAACCATGGATATTAATAAATCCTATTATGTTAAACGGGACAAATGACGGCTGTGAAACTGTGGATGATAAAATGAATATCCCTTTTACCAGAAACCACTGACTTACCTGTATCAGAAAAGTTCTACAGTTACCTTTTTAAAATGTGGTCAGTTATTCGTAAGAAATATTATTTATTTATTTATTTACTTTACTTTACTTGTATACCGCAGTTTCTCAGCCCAACAGGCGACTCAAAGCGGTTTACAACAAGGGTAAAAAATCAATCAAACAATATACAATTTAAAATCATTAAAAGCATAGTATACACAATAATAATACATCAATAACAGCCCCATAACATCTCGTAACTAGAATCGTAATCCAATCCGTCGTCCATAATTCCGTTCCTGTATTCATCATATTCATTGCGCTGTGTATCCGAATGCCCGTTCAAACAGCCAAGTTTTTAATTTTCTTCGAAACACCATTAGCGAAGGGGCTGATCTAACCTCCGTAGGAAGGGCGTTCCACAGCCGAGGGGCCACCACAGAGAAGGCCCTGTCCCTCGTCCCCGCCAGCCGCGCCTGTGAAGCTGGCGGGATAGAGAGCAGGGCCTCCCCAGAAGATCTTAGAGTCCTGGTGGGCTCATAGGCAGAGATACGTTCGGATAGGTAGCTTGGGCCAGAACCGTTTAGGGCTTTATAGGTCAGCGCCAGCACTTTGAATTGAGCCCGGTAGCAAATCGGTAGCCAGTGGAGCTGGTGCAGCAGAGGAGTTGTATGCTCCCTGCGCTCCGCTCCTGTTAGTATCACGGCTGCCGCGCGTTGGACTAGTTGGAGCTTCCGAGCTGTCTTCAAAGGCAACCCCACGTAGATATCATAAAACCCCTTTAATGTTTTTTACATTAAAATAATATAGTCATGTGCAGGACTCAAATCAGTGGCTGCTTTTTAAATGGCTTTAAAAGCATATTTGTTCACTTTAGATTTTAAATGAGAAGTTTTTTTATGGTGCTGTTAAATATTTGAAACTGCACTTCATTTGATTTTAAAGTACTTTTATCGTTCGGTAATGAGATTTACCATTTTACATTGTAAGCCACCTTATGATGTTAAATAAACAAACACACATTTCAATTATCAATAGCACAAGCTGATGTTAAGTGGAAAATTGTGTGATAAATCAACAGACATGCATGACTCTACAGAAGATGTTCTAAAAGAAAGCATATCTCTCATTACTTTTAAAAAACTCAAGTCACATTACAAGGAACGCAGGGCCCTTCCACACAGCCATATAACCCAGAATACTAAGGTTGAAAATCCCACAATATCTGCTTTGAAGTGGGTTATTTAAGTCCATACTGCCATATATTCCAGTTGAAAGCAGACAATGTGGGATTTTATTCAGCTGTGTGGAAGGGGGCACAGATTTCCACATTTATTGGGCACACAGGCCAACACAAACACAATTCATATGTATTTTGTACTGGCTGGATTGAAGCTGGTATCAAAATATCTGTCACTTGAGATTTATAGAATATCTTACAAACTACCAATGACACTTTCAGGTAACATACATCATGTCTTACAGTGTCAGGCTTCAGCAAACCCACTTCCAGAGTAAAGAGAGCTACAATGTAATAGAAAAGCAGGACGAGTCAATTCATTGTATCTGTTCTAGTAGTTACTAATAAAGACATGTTATCGATAGAACAAAAAGGGAGAAAACTTTTAGATATTACTGTCAAATGTCTCAAGCCTCCTCTATCTGAGAGGCAATCAAAGCCTCAGTGGCCCTGGGCTGGAAGGACCACAGGAAATGGGATATAAAAAACTTGGTATAAATATCTAGCCGATTACCTTCTCCAAGATTATATTAGCAAAAGGAAAAGTTACTATACAACGGGTCAAAGCAGAAGGACATGGGAAGCAAAATGGAAGGGTCTCATTTACAGAATAAAGGGGAAAAATAAATATATGGTGTTAAATAAGACTATTCTCATGATTGAGCAATTGCAATAAACACAGCAAAAGTACTTACCTGTTCCTGAGCAGTGGGGGTTGTGGTGGTGGCGGGATTGGGGAAAATACTGGTATTTTGAATGTTAATTTCAAAGACTGTGCTTCTATGTATTATACAATAAAAAAATCAAAAAAGCCTCCTCTATCTGATGTTTGTCTGCTTTATTACGTGTCATTTTATAACCTGTATTTAATTTGCAGTGTCCGTATCTCTAAATACCTAAAGCAGTGAGAAGGGCTGCAGGTCACATGACTGACTCATTGACAATTTATAATGTCGTGAGTCCACACTGCCATATATTCCAGTTCAAAGCAGATATTGTGGGATTTTTCTGACTTGATATTCTGGGTTATATGGCTGTATCAAAGGGCTCTGGGTTATTTGCGTCCACCCTCCCATTGTTGGAGGAAGAAACCTTCTCAAGCCTCCTCTATCTGATGTTTGTCTGCTTTATGTGACATTTTATAAACTGAAGTATAGGTCTTATTTAATTTTATTTATTTATTTATTTATTATTTAAACTTATATGCCGCCACTCCCCTGGGGCTCGGAGCGGCTTACAAGAATAGCTAAAATCTAACAAAATTTAAAAGCAATTTAAAACACTTTGCAGTGTCCTTATCTCCCGGTGACGTATTTATTTATTTACAGTATTTCTATACCGCTTTTCTCACCCCCAGGGGGACTCAAAGCATAGTGGGTTAATGCGCTGAGCTGCTGAGCTCGTTGACTGAAAGGTCGCAGGTTCGAATCCAGGAAGCGGCGTGAGCTTCCACTGTTAGCCCCAGCTTCCGCCAACCTAACAGTTCAAAAACATGCAAATGTGAGTAGATCAATAGGTACCACTCTGGCGGGAAGGTAACTGCGCTCCATGCAGTCATGACCTTGGAGGTGTCTACGGACAACGCTGGCTCTTCGGCTTAGAAATGGAGATGAGCACCACACCCCAAAGTCGAACACAACTGGACTTCATGTCAGGGGAAAACCTTTACCTTTACCTATCTCTAAATACCTAAAGCAGTGAGAAGAGCTGCAGGTCACATGACTGACTCATTGACAGTTTTAGAATGTTCTGAGTCCACCCTGCCATATAACCCAGTTCAAAGGGATTTTATATAGTGGAAGGAGTCTAAAATTCCACCAGATGGCGCCATGCCGGTTGAAGTGTTGTCGAACTGAAATACAATGTAGTGTAGATGTAAGGTCAGAGAGAGGTGGTTTTGCCAGTTCTTGAGAAATGCCGCATTTGCATAACCCCACAGGCAGTATTGTCCGCTATTAACCCCAAGCCAAGGACAGCCAGGGCCCTCCCCCGGTGTCGTAGAGAACAACCTTTGCGCTTCCCTCATTGTCAAGCAGGCCCAACCTTTGGGAACCTCCGCCTTTGCAAAGCCTCAGCGGGCTCTCCTCAAAGCAAGTGCGCCTTGAGAAGACGCCTCGGCTCTTATTGGCTCGGGCCGGGAGTCGGGACTATTTTTCTCGCCCCTCAACTGAATTAGCTCCCAGGAGAAGGGCTGCTCTTCCGCTCTCACAGAGCCAAGGACTTCAGCAGTCAAGGAGATGGCGGCAGGTAACCCTCCGCGGTCCCTCGCCTTTTCGCAGCAGCTCCGTGCCGCATTTTACGCCCTCTCGCCTAATGAGAGCTCCTTCCGCAGCGTCGAGGAGGTCCCTGATTACGTGGACCAGGTGAGGGGGCTCAAGCGGATCCCTCCGCGGGGTCTTCTCCTGAAAGCATTCATAGCTTCCTACACCTGGGAGGCAAACGTGTGAGGGTTCTCAATGGCATACTATTTAAAAATGCAGGGCCGACCTTTCTTCGCCTTCCAGGACAGCTATGTCTGGCCTAGGCTGCAGTTGATATGCCTATAGACCTGAGGTCATGAAAAAAATGGGTGGAAAGGGATTGCCAATGCAAAAAAGTTTAAGAAACTCTGATCTAAAGAATATCCTCTGTTTCAGGCATGGGAAAACTTGGGCCCTGCAGGTGTTATGGATTTCAACTCCTGCAATTCCTTGCAGGGCCCAAGTTTGCCCCTGCCTATTATTCTAACCCTTTTAAGATCATATTTATATCCCAAAATCAGAAATTCTACAAAATAGTCGCATCTGCATGGTTGAAACAACAACATTTTTTATTTAGGACATTTATATGCCACCCTTCTCACCCTGAAGGGGACTCAGAGCGGCTCACGAGATATACATACATAAGGTAAAGGTTTTCCCCTGATATTAAGTCCAGTTGTGTTAGACTCGGGGGGGTTGGTGCTCATCTCCGTTTCTAAGCCAAAGAGCCAGCGTTGTCCATAGACACCTCCAAGGTCATGTGGCCAGCATGACTGTATGGAGCGATGTTACCTTCCCACTGAAGCGGTCCCTATTGATCTACTCACGTTTGCATGTTTTCAAACTGCTAGGTTGGCAGAAGCTGGGGCTGACAGCAGAAGCTCATACCACTCCCAGATTCGAACCGGTGACCTTTTGGTCAACAAGTTTAGCAGCTCAGTGGCTTAACCCTTATTTACTTACTTAGGCGATCCCTCGTTGGCCGAGTAGGATAGTCTTCCAGGATCAGAATTCTTGTGAGTCTGTAGGTGGCTGTGGAGCCCTATTCTTGATCTGCATCTTCTTCTGCAGTGAGGGCATTGGCTTCCAGGTGGAAGGCGATCCCAATTGGGGTTGGCTTGATGCACCTTTCTCTTGGCACGTTTCTTTCTTTGACCCTCCATTTGTGCCTCTTCAAATTCTGCAGCACTGCTGGTCACAGCTGACCTCCATCTGGAGCGCTCTCAAGGGCCAGGGCTTCCTAGTTCTCAGTGTCTATGCCAGAGTTTTTAAGGCTGGCTTTGAGCCCATCTTTAAATCTCTGTTCCTGTCCACCAACATTCCGTTTTCTGTTCTTGAGTTCGAAGTAGAGCAACTGCTTTGGGAGATGGTGGTCGGGCATCTGGACAACGTGGCCAGTCCAGCGGAGTTGATGGCGGAGGACCACCGCTTCAATGCTGATGGTCTTTGCTTCTTCCAGCACGCTTAACCCACTGTGCTACCAGGAGCTCCATAACATACATACAATATATTATATTATATTATTAGCATACTACAATATCAGTATTATATATTACTATATTGTACTACACCATTATATTGTAATATATAACATCTTTGTTTACTAATGGTTCATTGTGCACTACCTTTGTTCCATGCCCCAAATCATCACAAATATTTTGGATAATGTCTGAGATGCTGTATATATGAAACACATCAAGCCAATGTTTAGACTTTGGTCTCGCCTCCAAGAAATCTCACACTGTATATGTAAATATAGTCAGCAGCTCCATATTCATGGATTCAATCATTTTGAAAATATGCTGAAAACAAGAAACAAAAAATGAACCATGCTTTTGGCATTTTATATAAGGGACACTATGTCGTTGTGTATAATAGGACTTTCCAGGACTCCTTGGGGATACCAAAATCTGTGGATGCTCAAGAGCCCTTCCACACAGCCTTATATCCCAGACCAGGCATCCTCAACCCCCCCCCCCCAGTTGTTTGGGCCTTCAATTCCCAGAATTCCTGACAATTGAACATGCTTGTTAGAGCTTCTGGGAGTTGGAGGTCCAAACATCTGGAGCGCCGCAGTTTGAGGGTGCCTGTCCCAGATAATCAAGGCAGAAAATCCCACATTATCTGAGTGTGGATTCAGTGTCCTTCCATACAGACCTAAACCCAGAATATCAAGACAGAAAAACCCACAATATCTCCTTTGAACTGGGATATATGGCAGTATGGACCCAGGTAACTCAGTTCAAAGCAGATACTGTGGGATTTTCTGTCTTGATATTCTGGGATATCGAGCTGTGTGGAAGGGCCCTGGGATATATGGCAGTGTGGATTATCTAAGTCTACACTGGATTTTATATGGCAGGGTATAAGGACCCACAGTCATCTGAACTTCTTTCCCCTTTATTCTTACAAAATGGCCTTTCCCCTTGACATTTTGAAGCCACACACACACACACAAATGCATCCATTCATTTCATAGATCTGTTGAAAACAATGTTTTTGTTTTGGCTTGAATGTGCATTTGATTTACAAATAAATTCTGCAGTTCTTTGTGTATTGGTAACATTCATTCTTCATTGGTTTTAAGGATTACTAAACAGCTACTTCGTTCCAAAGTGGGTTTCAGGCCTCTTCCACATAGCTGTATAAAACCCACAACGAACTGGATTATATGGCAGTATGGACTCAGATAATCCAGTTTAAAGCAGATATTGTGGATTATCTGCCTTGATATTCTGGTTGTGTGGAAGGGACCTTAGTGTGTGACATATAAAGCAACAAAACAATAATTTATTAAGCAAATGAAAAGAAACTGATTGAGGTCTGAACTGCTTCTCTCATCCCAGCACTTAGACACAGAGAAAATATTGCACCCTATAATAATAATTATTTTTCTATTAATTCTTCTTCATGGACAAAGATATTTAGATTTCAATTCCATTTGTGAATAAAATGCACCAGGTCCCCCCCCCCCCCAAGCCATGCTTGAGATATGGGTATTAATGTCATGTGCCTAGTGTTTCCATACATGCTGTAATTTAATCTAAACTGAAGGCATAGCTGCATGCTCTGTATTTTCACGAGCATGGAAATATATTTTTGGACTATAGTTTCCAGAATCCCCCTGCCTTCTATTTTCAGAACGGTTGATTTGGGCATAGGTTAAAACTGGACCGAATGGGACTTGGTCCCATATTAATATGTACTGCCAGCATACTTTGTAAAGCTGTGCCAAGTTTATGTGAAAGTGATGTGCTAATTAATATATGCAGGTGATAGATTACAGGATGTAATGTGAGCATATGTGTATTCAAGCCTAAAGCACGGTTAGAAAATTAAAGCAGAATGTTTATAAAGTTTCTGACTGTCTACCTTGTTCCTGCCTTTCTGTGTCGTTTTAGGCAACTCCTTTGTTCCTGACCCTGATTTTTCTGGAGTTTGTTGTTAAATGGGCTCAGAAGGGACATTCATCAGCTCGGGTCAATGATGGCATCGCATCTCTCTCTGCAGGTGTTCTGTCTCGACTTCCAGAGTAAGTCTGGCTTGGTTGCATGGTTTGGTTGATTCCAATTTAAGCTGGGGGAAAGTCCTCCAATGCCAAAGGTTTTTAAAAATCTTTAACTATGGGGAAAATGTGAGAAGCTACTTAAGACACATAGCTAATAATATATATATGCTCCAGTAGGACCTATTTTTCCATCCCTATATTTCAAACTGTGTAGAGGGTTTCATTTGCTTTTTTCCAAAAGCTGGAATTCAAGTTTGTCCAGCTGGTTCAAAAGAAGCAGAAGGAAATGTTTCTTCACACAAAATTTAATTGGCCAAGGAAAATGAGGTTTTTCTTATGGCACAACTATTTGCCATTCATTTTATAACTCGGTTGTTGTGGATGTAGGCATGAAGTATAATGAATGTTCACGGAAACAAAGTTTCCCATTGACCATGTTTCCTGTGGACCCCTCCTCCCTTGTGAGGGATGAAAGGTGGTTTTTCAACAAATAGCTTCAATGTTTAATCCTATTTTAGTGTTTGTATGTTTTTCATTAGATTGCTTTTTATATTGTATTGTTTTTTGTGTTATCGGGTTTAGGTCTCTTTTTAGAGAGATAAAGCAAGATATGAATAATAATAATAATAATAATAATAATAATAACAATAACAATAACAGGATGAGACATGCAGGAGTTGCTGTAGGAGGAAGGGGAAATGGTAAATACTAGGCCTGTGCGGTTTTGTTCGTTAATTTCGTTATTCGTTATTCGTTAAACATTCGTTATTTTTGGCATTTACGAGGCGATATCAAAACACTTTTTCAAACCCGGA